TTCTAAATAAACACGATTTAGCTAGCTATAACACTACTATATTTTAAAAGTTAAACAGTTAATTCTATATTTTTCGCTATTTTACATGATAAGGGACAACAAATAATAATGAGGATTAAAATTAAATAAAGGTTGAAGAAGTAGTCTTGAGATTATTTACAAATTTTCAATGAGATCTCGGCCCTGAATTCGAACAACAGGTACTCGAAAATCTCTTTTTTCCGAAACCCCTGGGGTTGATTTGATGACTGCTGTTGGGAAATCACATAAAAAATACGTACAAGCATTGATTTGAGAAAGAATAGCACGATTAAAACAGGAAATGTATATTCAAATAGATAATATAACAAACGAAACTAGCCATATATGTAGTTAATTATTTTTAGTTAATAAGAAATCCGTAGAATATCTCCATCTGTCTATCTATTTTTGGCCGATATCTACGTTTCTCAGGGGCGAACAGGTCGATCTAAATTTGTATAAACACGCCGGAAAGTTTGCCGGTCGAGTTGTTGAACATTCGTCAATAATTGTCCAGGAGTAGCGAGAACGTGAGAACGAGCGACGTTCAAATGTAAATTCAATTATGAAACCAAATTTTCTTTTTGTAACAACCCTCCTTTGGCCCTTAGTACTTATTAATCAGATCATTCGGATAAAACATGATTTGTAGATTTATTGATCACTAGACAGCACATTCAATTTGTAACCAATTGGTGTCAGAAAGGTACATGTACAGATAGAGTTCTACATTTTTCACCCGCACGTTCTTTCCAAATAAAGACAAATATAGGGTGTAATCTGATGGATAAAACAATCGGATTAAGCAACAGTCCATGGGAAAAAAAGCATTTACTGAGGAAAAATGGGTATCCATTATTGCTAAATAAAAAGTTGATATGCCAAAGAACAATTGTACCTGTACCCACTATTGATGAACCTGAGAATACAACTAAGAATTTTAGACCACTAACATATTTAAATTTAATATATAATAAATTAAAAATTTTATTAGGGACCATGTTATTGACTAGGTTTCAAAATTACAGATTTCAGTTTTTCATTTCGTTGGAAAATACTTTCCATTCCATATTCAATATGGTTGCCAATGAAGCGGAGTGTGCATCAGGGCTCCGTCCTTGGTCCCGTTTTCTTCTTTCTTTACCTCTCCGGGTTAACGCACAAATTGAAGTCTTGCAGCCACATACACTGTGCCTCCAAATCTACATGGGATGTTCAAAGTCAAAAAAATGTATTAGATTGATTAATAAGGATATTAAGAAGATGGTTCAATGAACTGGTTGTAGTAAAATAAACCTTATTGACGATAAGACCAAATTATATTATACTTGGAACAAAATGTTATCTCAAGCCTATCGACTTTCTGAAAATTCATAAAATCAAAGTAAATTTTGCAGAAAATCAATGTTCAAAGCCTTTTACTTTGGTGATATCTTTCAAAATGATATGATATAGGATGAATATACAAATAAACCAACTGACAAAATTAACAATATTTTATTCCAACTCAAACTGAATAAAGCAATTTTATCAATACTGCTTAGAACCCTTTTCTATAGGCTCTAGTATTCTCCTCAGTTGATTTTATCTTATGACAAATTTTCAGTTTTAATATTCTTCATCTCCAAATCCCAGATACCTCTTTTCAGCCATTGGTTTCAATGGACAAGTCATTTATGAAAGATATTGCTCAACTGGCCCAAATCCTACTGATATCCATCCTCCTACAACTGATTTTTGATGCTTATATTTGTAAATCTGTGAAATCATTAATTAAAACTTTTTTACTGGCGTACAAGGAGATATATTCACGGAAGCTCCATAAAAAGACTGGTTTCGATCTAATCAGCCTCATTCCTGAATGTTCTTTAGTAAATAGTTACTACTTATTTAAAACGTTTAAAATTCTGTTGATATTATGTTTTTAAACATATCTTTTTTTTGAAATGTGAACGTTTTGTTCGATTGATGAGACGTCTTTATGAAAACGGTATTTCTCGAGAGGATCGTCATTTCATGAAAGCGGTTTCAATATTTGACAACAAAGAAAAACTCCGTGCAACAAGTAATCTCAAGGATCTTTCGAGTAGATGGGATCTTAGGCGTTATTTGACATCATGAAAGCGTCTCCCTTTTGTACGAAATTTATATGAAACGACGCTGGTTCCCGGAGGGTTTTTGTTACTTAGCCGTGGAAGTGTTTAATTCGATTCATCCCGAAAGCGCTTAGGCCGAAGGACAAAAGGGTGGTCTGACGAAAGAACGATTTTAACCCGATCGGTTATTTAAATAGGACGGAGGAAACCGATGTCTGAGAAGTAATTGTATTCACAGAGGGGTTAAAATCGGGCGAGCGTGATTCCCTCTGGGCTTTTGAAAGAGTGTCAAGAAACCCAGAAACTGGCGCCCTTCCTCCCCGAGGGGTCTCAATTGGCATCACGAGGCTAAACAGTTCAAAGATTCTGACTTAATTCAACAGCCAAACTTGTAAGTTTTACATAGGCATAACAGGGATTAAATGTCATCCCTTTTCTATATGAATTGCAAAAGGCCTGATACGGAACCCAGTTATATAAAGGGTATTAAATAGCAAATTGTTAGCCCCGGAGCGTTAATTAACGACTGGCAAAAAGGACTTCACCGCTTAAGCAGCATGGTAAAAATGCATCCCCCCCCCGAAAACTCATTCGTAGGTTATTCATGTCTTTTAAATTATTCACACCCTCTGAGGAAATCAACCTTTCCTTAAAATAGCCCCAACGAATTGATCCTACATACATATCTGACGAGGTCAAATCCCAGATGTACTTTTCAGGTTTAACGGCTGTCATTTCAAACATTACCCGTACATGATGACGGTGTACGTAAATAATTAAATCGCCTTTGGTTTAATAAGTGATTTAGGTTTTAGGTATTATATCTTAGTTCCTTCTTCCAACAAACAGAATTAGAAATGTTTTTACGGATTTATATTTAACTTTGTACTTATTAAGCATTAAGCATTCTTCGAAAACCACCCTGATGAAAAGTTCATTAATATTATTTCTTTGTAAGCAAGACCATTCAAAAATCTTTTATAACTATAAACAGTTTACAACCAAGTGAAAAGTAAAACATAACTTTCGACTTTATTTAATTAACTGTTCAGATTTGTATTTAAAAAATACAAAGATATTTGCTAAACAATCTTGGTATATCAGAGACACCTTGACTATTTATATGTTTTTAAGTGTATGTAAATATACATAGATATGTTGTTATTTTAGTGTGCTTATATAGTTGTTTTTTTTCTCTCTTTTTTTATTCCTGGAGAAAAAAATGTGTTGTTTGTTTATTAACAATTTATAGTCTGATTATATAGACAATATTTTGGCATATCATCGGACCTGTGCGTGTCTTGAGGTACGGCAGGGGGCACAGATCTCTGTTCAGGTACCTCAGGGCTATAGGGATTTTTAAATGTATATAGTTTTATGTGGTTCTGTTGTGTCTGTGTTTGACTTTATGTTAATTTATTAGAATGAATGTAATTTATTATCATGAAAGGAAGGGGTGATTTAATCCCGCCGCGAGGAATATCGAGTACTCTGGGGTGAGTGTATGACGTCTGGAGAGTAAAAGTAATTTATTAGCGTGAAAGGAAGGGATTGCTTATAACCCCACCCCGAGGAATATCGAGTACTCTGGGGTGAGTGTATGACGTCTGGAGAGTAAAAGTAATTTATTAGCGTGAAAGGAAGGGGTTGCTTACAACCCCGCCCCGAGGAATATCGAGTACTTTGGGGGAGTGGATGTGACCAGACATCTATGTTTGTGGAGATGTATATATACGTCCTGTATGTTTTGTTTCTATACTGTATTGTACCTGAGGTACAAACGAGAGACTAGCATTCTAGAATATCAACGTAGTATATATCTGAAATCAGAGGGTCAGTAACCAGATCGAGACGCTCAAATGGCTGCAGTTTAAAACAAAATATGCGCAAAAAAAGAAAAAGAAGGAAAATGCGCAGATGGCTGGCCAACTGTTTGTCGGCCCATAAACTTCCCACTTGTATAGTCCGACTCCGGCAGACGGTTGATAACCATTGCCGTTATGTGCTTTTTAGTTATGTTCAATTTTTCTCTCTGTTTTGTTTGTCTAATAAAGTACTTTTTCATTCATTCAATTTTGGGTCAATTGTTGTTAGTGAACAATACAGTGTGATATTTTTGTTTTGATCTGCGAGGTTATGGACCTTTAGTTTTGATGACCCTCGACTTGGCTTAACAAAACAACCGACCGGAATGACATTAACAAATCAAACTTACTCTTTCAAATACAATACCCATTTTAACCCTTTAACTCCATAAAACAAGACAAAAGGATATAATTAAGAAAATGACATACTGGTCAATCTCTAGGTTATGAAATGTCTAAACGTGACTGTAGCCAGAGTAGGCAGAATGATCGATAAAGGCCTAGAAGGATGGAAGGACTCGATAAAAAAATAAAAATCAATAGAAAAATACAAAGATATTTAAAATAAATCAAAGAACTATTGGTCAGCTAAACCTTTTTTCTTTGTTTAGCCTTTGGCTACAATACAGTATATAGTAATAATCTATTTGTTGACGTTTTCGTGGTGATGAACCTTTAATTTTGATGTCCTTCCATTATTTATTTGGTTCCAACTTAGCATAATAACTGATCAGAAAAAAACCCTTTTTAAATTATGTTTAAAACCAGAAAAAAGATATAATTGACAAAATGACGTAATGGTGAATCACCAAGATTGTGAAATGTCTGAACGAGACTGATAGATCAAACTAGCGAGGATAGTCAGGCTAGGATTATGGAAGAAGAGACAGAAGAATGTTAGTCTATTAGTCATTGAAATTTCTGTCAAGTATTGTTTTAATGACAGTAATAATTTTGTTTATAGTAAAAAAAAATCCTATATGTAATGTATATACATGCAATATTATGGTACACTCACTGAAAGTACCTTTCTGCTCCTTTCCCCGATGTCCTGTAGAGGTTGTTTTGCGGCGTTCTGTGTTTGAACCTTCCTCCCAGGCGCCTGAAGTGACGCTGCTCCTCTTCCCCGGCCGCAGCGACGAACCTGGCCTTCTTTCTTAAAAGCTGGACCGTGAGAGCGTATGTGACGACCATGATGACCATGGGTATGTAGAAGGCGACTAGTGAGCCGAAGATCCAAAACGTCCTGTTGTTTATGACGCACAGGTGCGGTTCGGGCATTATGTTAGACGCGTCGTGAACCCCTGAGACAACATGTTATCTCTAATTCTGAACTGACTGGCTTGATTTAGTCTTACCTAATACTGTTATCGAGCTGGAGACGAGCATGGACAAAAGCCACACAAGAGCTATTTTGTAACCGACGAGGCGTTTAGTCGAATAAGACTGACGTGTCTTGAGTGGGTTCCTTATACCCAAATATCGGCCCAGGCTGATGCAGCACATGTGCATTATGCTCGACGAACAGGCGAGGACGTCGCACGTCACGTAGATGTTGCACCAGACCACTCCTAGAGGCCAATAACCTGTCAAAGTAGGTTAATATAAGACTTGTTTTAGTTAACATCCACATCATTTCTTTATAACACGTTCAATAGGTAAAATTTAACAAAGGGCTTACTTCACAAAGTCTTTACTAAAGGTTTAATCTATCCCTTTATTCAAAAGATATAAATAATTAAAACCTTTCCCAGCTTTAGCTAGGATGTGGAAAATGCCGTTGGAAATTCCTCCCATTTGAATAACTGGGGCAACATCCTTCAAACATTTTTCGGGCATGGCAAATCGTTTATGAAATTCCGCACGGTTCTGTGGGTTGTCCAATGAGAAAAACAATGGACTATTAATAGTGCATATTCCCTCGGATTTAGAGTTTCTCTTTTCACACAGCGCGCCAAGTCTTTGCTGCTTCGACTTCGTTTTAAACTATAACTAATTGTTGATTGCGTTCCAACCGTTGGGAGAATCAACAGCAGAAACCCATTAAACAAAGCATATACTTCGTTAATTAATTAATCGATGTATTAAGTGCTTAAACTAAAAGCTCTTTCTCCTACAATTATTGTCTAAGAAGGCTTATAAACAAAATACGCAACTGCTGATAGCATGCAGACAATTAATTAACAAAAATACTTCGCGTGAAATTGTCTTGGAACTGTGAATTTGTATTCTGCTCGTTTTATATGAAATTCACGGTTTAAAACAATTTCACACAAAACCAATGTTACACCACAAGAATAGCACTAAACTTTATGTGAGTATGAAATGTTTGGTTCAGAATTTACATTTACGTCTTAAATTGTATTTTTCCAATCGACATATGTTTTGTAATATATCCCGACCCTGAAGATGACCCGAATAGAGGTCGAAACGCTGCGAAAAAATGAAAAAGGTTTTCCTAAACTACCTCATTCTTGACCGCTCCTCACGACTTCAACAAATTATTTTAATACTACGTTAATTAAATTTTCTAACAATTTTGATTTTACTTTCGATGTTTTTCGTTACTGGTCGGATTCTGCAATCCGACAAATCAAATGTTCTAATCGATCTTCTGTTACCCTTATCCGTAATTTTTCAATGCAAAATGATTATTCTTTAAAATTCTCTGTACCATTGACAAATTAAAGTCTATTATAACGTATTGAAAGTACATTCACGAAAATTTCATCGGATAATAGCAAAAGCCAGCACAACATGTATTGTTTATCAACCGGCTGTGTGTATTGTAACAAGCTAACGACCCATCATGGTAGAACACTGGGTACATTGAACGGACCATGACATGCCTTTTGAATTTATTTTATATTCGTTCCTGGCTGTTAATGTCTTAAGGTGCATGCCAGCCGGGATCATTTGTTTTCCGGTTGATCATATCTTCGTATCAGTTCTTCCTTCTCAAGAAATTTATATATTTGCCGCTCCCATATCGTTGGGAAAATTATATAGGATCGCATAAAGAGGAAAAAAACTGAATTGAATATTTTCTTCATTGTTTAAATACCATCATTTTTGGTAAATGATAATTTGAAGATAGTGAAATCCGCTCTGGTGTGACGTAGGTTTTAGAAAAACATTTATTACAATTAATGAAGGTTTTTAGTTGAGTTAAAAAAGTCAATGGCACGAGCGGGATTCGAACTCACGATCTTCGGCTTGATACGCCGCTGCTCTGCCACTTGAGCTATCGTGAGCAAGATCCACTCGGACACCAACTTCCCATTTCAACCGCACAATTCAAAAGGCTTTTTTATCTCAACTAAAAACCTTCATTAATTGTAATATTTAAACAATGTTTGTAAATCCCAGGCCCTGGAGATGATCTCAATAAAGATCGAAACGTTGGCACGACAAAGAAAATGTTTTTCTAAAACTTACGTCACACCAGACCACATTTCACGATCTCCAAATTATCAGTAACTAACGGCCCGTAAACACCACACTTTTTTGGTTTAATTGTTTAATAATTTAATTTTTATTAAGTTGTTTATTTAGCTATATCTTGTATTTTTCTTCAAAATATCCAGTGAACAGCAATAAATAAAAACTATACCGATTGCAAGGTTTACTAAAAAAACGAGGGTGGCCACTTTTTTGTCTTTCAGTGTAGTTATAGTCATCTCCACAGTTTTTCTACCATTAAAAACAACCATGTTTTAATGTTCGATTTCCTGATGTTTTTATTATGTATTAAATGTGTTCAATATTCAATATAATCGATATTTGTTGGCACTGTTCAACAGCTACGATATGTCATTTAGATAGTTTTTAGTTGATACTACCCGTCTGCCGTAAATACGGTAGTTTGATTGCACCATAAAGATGAAAGGTAGATTCAATTTAGGAAGATATTACCGACCATTTCTCTCGTTAACTCTACTCGCAATAACTCTTAATGAATAATAATAAGTTTTTAAATTAAACTATTAATGAATATTTCTAGGTTGTTCCTGTATTTGTTTGAATTATATTGAATTTTAAAATGTTCTAAACTCAAAAGGTTTTTTTTCGACTAGGTTATATATTATGTATGGTATATACTGTATATACTACCACCCTTGGGATGACGGTGTTTTTTTGTTTTTTTGAGGGGGTGTAAAAATCCCATTTGTAAGTATGTAGGGCGGCCGTGTCTGCGACGTTACGTGTTGGTATATACGAATGGGCTTTAACCGTTGCGGCCGCCATCGCCAGTATCAGGTTATTTGTTATCGGTTATAAACGGTTGCAAATACTACTTCGCATGTTGAGTGGCCTGAAAAGTCGGAGCCGAAAATACATTTTCTAGGAAAATAATAATTAAATATTTGGTAATCCAAAATTAACAATCCCACACCTGTAACAAATAAGTCTGATGAAATTTACAAAATCAATTGCGGAAATTGCCCGGCAACGTACATCGGAATCCCAATATCTGGACAAGAGGGGAAAACAACATATACATGATTCCAACAAACATAAACAAAATCCTACAGCACTGGCTTACCACCATTTTGAAAACCAACACAATTTCGACTTCAACAGTACAACAATATTAAACACCGAAAAAGCATTAATTAAGGTTTTTAGTTGAGATAAAAAAGACAGTGTCACGAGGGGGATTCGAACCCACGACGACCTTAGGCTTGATACGCCGCTACTCTACCACATGAGCTTATAGTGATTCGATCCACTCGGGCACTAACTTCTCATCTCAATAATAATTCAAAAGGTGGGGTTGTGATGGGAAGTTGGTGTCCGAGTGGATCGAAGTCACGACAGCTGAAGTGGTAGAGTAGCGCCGTATCAAGCCTAAGGTCGTCGTGGGTTCGAATCCTGCTCGTGACATTGACTTTTTTATCTCAACTAAAAACCTTAATTAATTGAAATCTAAACAATGTTTGTAAATCCCAGGCCCTGAAAATGATCTAAATATAGATCGAAACGTTGACACGATAAAGAAAATGTTTTTTCTAAACCTACATCACACAAGACCGCATCTCACGATTTCCAAATAATCATTAATTAACGATCAATAAATACTTAACATTGTAAAAAAACATCAACGCAAAACATCCAACGACGAGAACGCAGAATAGGTCGTCGTTTATAAAAATTCATAAGTTGTAATTACAATAATTTAAAAAAATTGTATGAATTTTATTTTGCATAGAAATACTTATATAAATTGTTTAGTTTTCTTGCTGTCATAGATTTTTGGTTTTTTTTTTTTAAGTTATTCTTCTTAATCGAAACAATGTTATATCTAGTAAATCTAATCAAATGTAAGTAGGTTTGTGCGTGCCACCATGTAATGTACAAAAATAGTAACTAGTTAAATAAGCTGCAAAGGATTTCATTCTTTAAAATATTTACTTCTATAGATTCTAGTCTTTTTCTTTCTTAATCACCTTTTAGTGAAGTCTGTTATTTTTTGGGTGATTGCGTATATTCGAAAACGGGGATTAGTATAAAATACACGTAACTTTTTACTAAAAACGCACATTTTTTAATCTTTCAATTTTTCTTTAAAAAGCTTTCCGTCTGAAAAATCAGCACAAAATTTCCACTTTATACTTCAGTAAATAAAATTTAAGCTTACTTAAGAATCTAGCCTACGGCTAAGTCAGCAGTTCTAATAAATAACATTTCATCTTGAACCTCTCACCTTCAAATTACTGTAGAATTCCCATTCTCGCATATTATTGCTCGGGACAAAAATGTTTAAAAATAATAAATTGTCTATAGACTAACGTATAATTGGAGGATACATACGAGCAACATATTTGTATGCATTCTTTGTACGACGAGAATCCTCCGAAAAGAAAAATCCAAGAACTTAAAAATAATCGAGTTAGATGGTCGTAGTTTTGATAAAAAGGTCCCATGTTGAGCCCACTGGAGAGGTTTTAAAAATAGCGCATGCTACCAAAGAATTTCACTTGTGAGTTCGTTTTCTAATGAAAGAAAAGTTGTTTGCCAAAATCACGAGAATTGGTTTCTAGACATTTGTTTTGTACTGTTTTCATTTTCTTGGAGGGGGTGTCGGGCTTTGGTTCAAACAACTCTTATGTAGATTACGACCAGCGTAAAACGTTGTTCTGAAGACTGAGATCCAGGATTACTTTTATCCCGTCTTCCTCATGGCAAATTTTGGAACAAGGACAAATCTCGTCTCCCCGTTCTCCCAATCCATCAGCGAAATGTTATATATTTGTAGCTTTTATTTATTAATTTTATTTACACGAAATATCTTAAAATTGAAAATATACGAAAAAGAATTAAATTAGCGGTCGGGGTGGCTGAATAATTAGTGCGCCAGATCTTATTTGCCACGCTAGCGGTTTTCGTTTGGAATCTTTGCAAAAGACATAACCT